AAGACTAGTCTCCTTTCAAGATGAGCAATAATACCATTCTTTCGTAGGAAAGTACACGGTGTATCCCCAGACATTTAAGCAGTAACCAAAAATACGTGAACAGCTTTGTTTCGTCGGATTCGACGACAGAGACAGGGAGCCAAACTAATTTTAACACTCTCCATTGAGTAATAGACCCTGGCGCCATTTCCTGAGGGCGTGCAAACAAAGCGTTTGACCACAGGTTAATTGCTGTCTGATCATGCACATACTTTGTGTAATCACACTCGAACGACCGTAGTCGAACGATTTTGGGGGTAAAATCTCCCACGGTCACCTAACTCTCATTCCTTCCTGGTCGATGACGCACAGTTATTTTGCACATTTGTTTTTATGTAAATTGCTCCCTCTGTATACTGATAGATATAATCACTTATCCAAATCATTCTTTGTTCTGGAGACGTTGGTCGAACCATAGAGGAAGAATGGTCAAATCATAGTTAACTGTAGTCGTCGCTCGAACTCTCCTATGTTGGACGCGCTTTACGCGTGCGTGGCAATGTATTTATTTCATGATTACGTGGGGTCAGTACTACGGGCCAGTGTGCCAAAAATGACAGTTGAGTTTGTGGACTGAACACCGCAAACATCATTTCCTACGGGGGAGACGAATTATTGATGCACCTCGCAGGGTCAGAGAATTATCGACTGGCGAGTACACCTCGTCCATCGGCAAGGCGCAACAACAGGTGTTTTAATAACGTACAGGTCGCGAGCGGCAGGAATACAGGATGCAAGAAGGCTAGAGACGTGTGAGATGACGCCTCGCGTGTTGGTCCAGGTGCGCCCGTCACCTGCAAGCCTGATTATAGGACACGTGGGATGATTATGGATTAACACTGCCTCCAAGCAGGTTGCAAGCAAACAACCTTTGGGAAAATGTAAAACCGTGACGCCATTTCGGCACTCGGCGAGCTGCCTTGATGATAATTTTTTGTTCATTCACATCGAGCGAGGGCGCTGTTTCCAACTAACATAGTCGCCCATACTGGCGCCTGGAGCTCAGGGGTTTTCCCCACATTTTGCTTGTCATCTTATTTTGACTCTAAACTGTAGTTTTGTGACTTTAATCTCCTGAGTTTGGATCTTTAAAACTCGTTACAGCTATATGTTTCTGCTTGTTGACGTCAATCTTTTGTAACTTTTCACTTGGTTCCCATGGTTACACTCAAAATTGGTTTTTGGTGTGAAAATGAAGTCACGGAGGGAGACAACCTGCAGTATTTCGATAAACCCATCGGCACGCCCTCCAGTGTTTCCACTTTTAGAGAAATTTCCTTATTTGAAAGACAATTTTCACGTCCTCAGGAAATTTCTAAGGAAATGAAAAATTTAAGGAAATTTTAAGAAAATCCAAATTCTGAAGTCGAAAATTTTATAGAATTTTCCAAAATACAGAAAAAAATCATGAAAACTAAATTTCAGTTGTGTTACAACGAAAAAATTGGCAAATTCAGGACAAGGATTGGGTGTACGGTATGTATTATATGCGGCGTCTTGCCCTTGGGGATTACTGTTGCCATCCTAAAGCCTCGTTTCGCGGCAGTGTTGGCGCGGTTGTTTGACTGGTTCCGTCCAAAAAAAGTCCGAAGATAGGTTAAACCAGTAGGCCTAGTCTGGTATCCGTGGTATTGTCGTGATTCGTTTGACCTCAGTGGTCTCAGCCTCCTGTAAGCGGCAGGGTTGCCGCCGCAATCGCTGCTCCATTCAGTTTATGAAAAAGGAGTGAATTCAGATGCACATTATTTATGGAGAAACGAAGAAAATTCAAAGAGAAATTGAAGGAAATTTCAGAAAATCTCAAAGGAAATTTAATTTTGAGGAGTGGAAACACTGACGCCATCGCGTCACACAGTGACACCTGTACACAAAAATTAGAATCGGTGCGTTCAACACATTCTGACTGGGTCATCATCACTTGCTGAGATACGCGGATGAAAAATGACATTTTTCGAAACATTCAAATACTTTCTCCTGCATTTGAGAAGAATTGACGGTGCGGTGGGTGCTGGCCCATCGCATGTTAGGCCGTGTCGGAATCACTTGGATGAGGCTTGAAATTACGCACGAGTCTTTGGTAGTGGCTGGAACCAGTTCCCATAGAGTCGTGTATAATTTCAAACCGCAGCCAAGTGAATCGGAGGCGGCCTTTAGTCTCCTCACCCACTCTTATATGATCTAATTTCTTTTGCGACGATTATTGCAGGAGATCTCGGCAAATGTTTACCTCAGGCAATGACTTTTTCATTCTTACCGTCTCTCTCCCTGTGGATTTTTTAAACACACCATTGCGATCAGACAATTTTTATGGCCACTGCCTGAGAAGTTCTACATGTTTTGCTTTTTTTGTTTTGTTTTTTAAATTCGCTCCCCCCCCCCTGAATTTCGAAAAGTATCTCGGTGAAATAATCCGTCAAATCGGCTCAATCTCCCGGCATTAAATCCTTGCCCTGCTTTGCCTTTCAGGGCAATTCGGAGTCAGAATCTAAGTAAAGTGGCCACTGGAAGAAGTAGAGCTTTCTTACTTGAGATCCAATCGATGATTTCATCGGTTTATCAGCGACAGCGACGACCGTTTATCGTTATAGTCAATACTCAAATTCTTAAAAGGAGGGATCCCGCGTGTGTTTGATCTCGGCTGCACTAGACTCGAAACACTCACTTCAAGGACAACTGTCTGCGCATAAATATTGATGTCTTCCTTTCACATTAAGGAATAGAACTCCCAAGTCATTTGCATGTACATGTATTGTCATGTCTGTCGAAAAGCAAAACTGTTTGCGGACAAAAAAATCAAAATTTCTTTGTGCAACCATTTATGGCCTCTGAGGAGAGAGGTTAAAATTTGGGCCGTTTCACACGTTTCTGGAAGTCGCATTGTTTTAAAATGATCTTTCCCATTGTTATCCTTTTTCAAAAAAAACACAAATATTTTTACTCTTTTGGGGCGGGGCATCGCCCTGTTGCTCCCCCCCCCGAAACGTCAGTGAAATCAAGACTGACTGATATGCTGCTCATCAATGACAAAATTCACTTGAGGGTTTTATTATATTCTGACCTGTTTTTTCATAATTCGTTTTTTAAGCTTAGTTGATTAGAGACCGAATTCACCTTTACACGATTCAAGGAACTGTAAAATAATTTGAGTATAGAACCCAATGATTTGAGACTGTAGTACTGTAGTGTAGAGTACGCGCACACTGTCGATCAACTGGTTTATTTTTATACGTGATTAATATTGCCAAGAGTTTTCTATACAGAAACCTTTAGCCACAAAATTCATTGCAACGGACAAACTGTGCCAGACGTTTCGTTCTGGCGCTTTGCAATGTATTTGTATAGAATATCCATGAAGAGCCGAGTGATCACACACAATGCCTTGATCATTGGGCCGGCATACCTGGCATTTTTGTATGGGCAGTTTGAAAGGATAGGCATTTGCTATTTTCGTCATTGTTACAGCTGCTGCTGTGGTTGTTTAGAATAATCTGGAAAACAGTGCATTTGTCTGCTTCAGTTTCAACTCAAAGTGTTACGTCGATGACAACTGAACGGGACAGTGGGGAAGATTATGCACAGTCAGCGAATGTAAACGAGGAAACGGGAGCTCCGAATCGGTCTTCTCAAACGTTTCAGAGCCAGCCGTCCACCAAATTCCTGTAAGTCTTTTCTATTGTAAAGGAAACCTTATTTTGCACAGGGTACGTGCATGCAATAATGAGACTTCATGTAACATTGGACGCGTGAACGGACCTTATTCGTGAGTCAGCCATATCGAAATTGAGAGCGAGGCTTTGGGGGAGGAAATATGAGAGCGACTCACAATACAGTGCGCCACCAAGATTTTACCTTGGAGAGGCCACATTTAAAGTTTACTGTCGACAAAAGCTTGGCTGCCTTTTTATGATTTTAGCGTATGAAGTAGACAACTTGGGAAATATTTCATAGATTGGGACATTCCATACCATAGAAAGAAAAAAACTATTAAGTGACAAAACATCAGAAACAATTCAAGTTCACCGCACCCGCACAACCTACGAATAGAATTTGCTGACCATTTCCCACATTGCACTTCAAAAACTGGCCTTTTCTGTAGCACCTCTTGGTGGCACCCTGAATAGCGTTTTGCCCGTATTAAAAACACTCCCAAATCATCTGGTATGATTTTGCATACACCGTAGCCTGGGGGCTTAGGGTTAAAAAGCTCCTCAATTAAGTTTGAATAAAACAGATCCGTTGGGGGAGGCAGACCCGTTCCCTGAATCCGTCAATCCGCTCCGAGCTGAACAAAAGAGGGCGTGTTTTTGTTTTGTTTTTGGTTTTGGTTTTTTGTGGGGTTTTTTTGTACCGCACTGGCGCGCGTTTATACTGCGATCAATGGCACGTTAAACGTGGAGCACGCTGAGTACGCGTAACGAATTAATGTATGGTATCTGCGTATACGCAGAACGCTTGCAAGAACCCAAGAAAACTTACTACCATCTGTCTTTCTTCTGCCGCTTGGGGGTGCACTTCAGCTCGGGACGAATAGGTGCAAGGAGTCTCGGCCTCAAGTTTTCTTCATGTCCCCAGCCATCAGGACCCCCCTTACTTAGATACTTCTCCCTGGATGTCACATTTGGAACCGATCTTAACACATTCAAAGTTATCGCTTCAAAAATATGTAAAGCCATTCTCCTAAAAAGACCAACCACATTTCGAACGTGTCCCCGTTCCTTCCATCATATGTGTACATTTTTTGACATGGACATCTTCCTGGAAGAGCTTCATCACAAAACAATTAAAAACACGGTGGTGTAAATTTGTGCCTGAAGTTAGGGGATAAAATATTTAGGTGGGGGGGGTACTTGTCGGGTCATAGAAATTTGAAAGAGGGGAGGGGTTGACACCATAATGACACTTAGGTGAGATGTTCAAGACACAGATGTATATCTGTGATGTGCTTTATATTCCTGCAGAATCTTACATCGGAGCAGCATATTTCGGATTTTTTTTTTACTCTCCCTTTTTGAGAGATATCGAATAGATTATTGTTGCGTGGGAAGTACGAAAAAACCTTCCACATCCGCCTTAATTTTGTTCTCACAACGAGAAAGTGGGGGAGATTTAATAGCCCATCCCTGGTGAAAGGGTGAAGGAAATGTACCCCCCATTCCCCGAGATTACAAAGAGAAAACAAAAACAGCGTGACAGAACTTTTTTTCGCATGCCTTGACATACCGTCTTTAAACTGATATTTAAATATCTTGATATTTCTTGTTTGTAATCAAGTGTTTTGCTAATAGCTTTAATTTTTGCCTCTTAATTATACTCGTTTTAATGTAAATTTTTAAAATTTGCTGTTCTCCATTACAAATATTTAAAACTAATTTCCTGTCTTATTGTACTTTTCATTTTAACATCATAAAGTTGAGTAATACACATGTAATAAAAGCCTCAGCTATCCAGGTACTGTGTTAGGAAAGGAAGGCATCATAACTACCAAAGATCCAGAGTAGATTGTATTGTGGTCAAGCGCCATTTTGTCGCAGGCCATGAAAAATGTAGCCTGTTTTTTTATGAACACAGGAGGGGCGTATCCTTCCTAGCAAACACCCTGCACGCGCGGAAGCTCATCAAATACCAGGAAGCGTTTTCGACACTGCTTTTGTGTAAGATATCAACCCCCAAAATTGAAATAGCGAGTCACCTATAAAGCAAAGCCGTTAACAGGCGAGATGCCCAAATTCTTGATTCTATTGCTGTTTATAAATCACTCTGTCTCTTCTACGAAAAAGTGTCTCAGTGGTTAAACGCGTTTTGGATTTTACGTGTTCAGTTATTGTATCTTTACAAGCGCAGAATCAAGAATTTTTGTCTCATTAAATTTAAATTCATCAAAAACCGGTGGAGAATTTTCCCAACAACCCTTTCTAGTTTGGGTACAACAAAAACCCCGTGAACGAGGTGAAATTGGCAGTAGTGCCGTGAACCTCACCGACCAAGGTTAAATAAACGCGGTCATCCGGCACCAATGCCATCACGGAGCTGCTGCTTAGTTGGTGATACCCGGAAGTACTGTCGTGAACTGTAACAGTTTGTTCAGTGTTTTTATACAAAGACACATAAATGGAGCTTATCTGCGGTATCTTTAAGACTGAAAAGATGAATGCGTAGACGCCGGGCACGCTGCACGTGAAAGTACCACCGGACAGGTCGAAATTCGCCCCTACGTTAAATATTGTCTTGTCAAAGGTCAGGTGACCTCCCGAAGAATGGTATCTGGTTATTCTGGCCACCGTGAAGGCCACTTGAGTAGTGCTGGTACCACAGTCACCTTTTGGGCCAACCAGCCCCGCGGGTCCTGGGCTGCCCCTCTCCCCTTTCAGACCGGACACTCCCGGCGGGCCTTGCTTCCCGGGTGGCCCAAGGCCTGCCTCCCCCACCTCGCCCGGTCGACCCGGCAGGCCTGGTGCGCCATCGGAGCCTTGGTCTCCCTTCAGCCCCTTCAGGCCTACCTCCCCTGGGGCCCCGGGATCCCCCTTGGGCCCCATCGGTCCCGGGGGAGCGGGCACGGCGGGGATACCGGGGGTTCCAGGCAGGCACGGGCAGCCAAACGAGCTGCAACTTGAGTGTGTTTCCTCGGGCGCTGCTGAGCCATCGAGCGGCAACAGGTTTAAACTGGTTGTCAGCCACAGCACGACGAACAGCAATGCAAACTTCATCCTCGCGAGCTAGGAAAGAAAAAACATCACAAACTTCGTCAAATAAAGCAAAATCCACAGACAACAAGGGTGGCAAATTAAGCTGCTACGTTCAGTAACATCTTGGAGTTATTAAACACAAGGAGTCAGCACATACAGAGATCGAAAGGGTCAATGATAGCCAACGCCAGCACTGCGCGTGCTGCAAGGACAAAACTGAGGGGTTGTAGCTGGTCCAGAGTAAAATAAAAAAAACACACAAAAACATGGGAAGATTCGTTTTCCTTTCTGTCATTGTCCACAACTGTGTCGGCATGAAACCTCACCATGTTGTGAAATGCATTCCTGCAGCATGTTTCCACCTTCTTTTAACCGTAGGAACCACTAGGATTGCGACTTATAATATAAATATCGCAGTTCATATTTTGGGAATTTGTTCTCTACCTCTGGAAACGTAAAAATGTCATAACTGACTTTAAAAACGTCCGACTTTTGCCTTATAACCACCGCTGATTTGGAATATTCGAGAGCATGCGCTGATCACTCGCTGACTCCTGAGGACTACTGAAGAGAACTGCGCATCTTCTTCGTGCATCTTTTCCACCATTAATTTATTCCAGTAAGCCGCAGCGAAACACGGCGAGTCTGTGGGTTACCAGCTATCTGGCGGTGGCGATCACTGTATACAAAGAATGTCTGGGGTCTTCAACACTGGGGCTGGTAGCCGCGCTTTGTCTATAGAGCCGACCGGAGCAGTTAATTGGATTACGGTCTGTAGGGACTTCGTTCTGACTACTTGTGTTTGATAGCTCCATGGTAACATGTAAATTCCGCTTCACGCTATTTAGCAACACAAAACGAAGCGAACTGAAACGCGTGCAGGGAAATTTACTCAAATTCAAATGTTCAACTTTTGCAAATTTGCAGCACAGATTCCATCTGACGTCACAGTGTTGCGTCAGCGGTGGCTTTTGCACCAAGAATGAGCCGACCTGAGGCTCATAGTGCCATAATAAAATCGTGCCATTTGGGCGAATTTAATGGTTAAATTTTTTTAAAAAGCGGGTTCCAAGCTGAAAGTTTTTTTAGGGTGCTTGAATGTCACTGTGTTTTGCGGCGCAAATAAAGTTTTAGTACCTGTGAAATTATACGGTGCTTTCACGGGTACTAAAACCTTTCGTATGCCCCCAAGTTTTTCGCAGGCTAAAGGCACTTTTCAGGATAATCTTAGACTAGCCCTGCACGAAAATGCACCAAGCCCATTGTTGTATGAGTGTAATCTTCAATTTCTTACTCTGAAATTCGGCGGAGTAAGAAAAAAAAAAAAACAAAAGTTGTAGATCTAGCTAGGAAACGTGTTAGTAACCGTCCTGGTCACATAGGTGACAGACAGCATGATGCCCATGCTGGAATGCCAGCAGTTTGTCATGGTAGAACATTCCAATGTATGCATTATGCAGTTGCCACTTCATGTAAGTTGGCGTCGATTTGTCTGAAGTTGAAATCTCACCTTGCAAGTTGACAGACTGGATCTCGCAGTAAGTTCGAATCAGCTCGATCTTTGCTGCCTATAGAAGATGTGGTGGCGCAAATCTGACTGTGCGGGGATCACAGCCCCTTTTTATGCCAATGCAAAACTTTCTAAACAGTGACTGCAGTGAGTTACACTGGTTTCTGATTGGCCTTTGCGAACTGTCAATCACAACCTGATCGACCATCACCAAAGTCATTGACTTCCCACATTCCCGGAAGTAGTCACGGTGAACTTGTGTGGAGTTTTTGATTGGCTCTCGCTCGCTGTCAGTCACATCACACGACACTCCAAGCACGAACAACACAGTGAAAGGACTTTACTTCGCTGGTCATCTTGACAAGGCAGGCTCTCATCCAGAGTGTTTTGAGCCCCCCCCAGCATTGCTATCTTCCCTTTTTAGCGGCCTACGCTTAAAGGTTGCAAGCCCTGCTAAAAGCATACACCCCTGTAGAGGTTTCATTTTTGAATAAGGACAAACGAGATTAAAATGATTAAAACAAAAGAGATTAAATGACTTTAATAATGGCGAAAAAAATCAGCCACCTCACCCCCCCTAAAAAACTGGAAACCTCCCACCCCAAAAATCTGGATCCACCCCTGCAAGGCACTTCCCCAGATGAGACATTAGGCCTACTAGCCATCCAGTATCATGTTAAATTGCACAGAGTATACCAGTTGGAGTGAAAATAATTATTGTGTCGTTCTGGACACTTGCGGACTTTATCACCATGACGGGATCTCGTTTTGTGTACGTTCATTTGTTTGTACTGGCTCTATCTAACGCACCCCGAGGCGCGGAGTTAGTGCTCTATACAGAGAAGAAAAAGAAACACCCTTCGGTGCAACCATTTTTATGACTGTCTTCGTCGATCATGCGTTTTCCATACGTTGGTCTTTGCATGCGCGTAAACCGAAAGCGGATATAAGCGTGCAGTGTCCGCAAAGTTTACCTCGCAACATATTGGGGTTTTTCCTTAATCAGCGACATTGTTGTAATCTTCAAATTCCGTGTTTATAACTGACAATGCATTGATATAGGCGATTCGTATCATCACACATCAGGAAACTACCGGTAACTGCCTCGGGGTCAGGGCAACTCCTGGCCTTTAAACTTTTGTCTGAAGAAAAAGTTGGCGAGTCACTTCCGCCATTACTTCCAGTTTTCCCGAATGATTTCATTGTCTGATTTTTCTCCATCCTATATTAAACAGAGCTTTAGTGACTCTATATTCAATACAACGCAAATATTAAAAATACAAGCTTGTACAGCGAAGATCAGCGAATATGTTTTTTTATAAAAATCAAACAGTTTTGTAAAGCGAATAGGTTGGTTGAGTCGGATGTTGATCATTCGGATATACATTTGTATGGCATGTGGTTAGAACTTCCAGATTGAAAAATATGAAAATTACTCTGCACATCAAAAAAGCATGCTTGGCGATATTCACACGTGCATGTTGGATCACAAATACTCTTTATATCAGAAGCGCCGATCCATCCAACCACAAATGAAACGACACCTCAGGCGCAAGTCACGTTTACCTGAGTGGACTGTAGCACTGTCCAAAATAATAATAACCTGACCCAATGTGTGTGTTAAAATTACCAAAAGAACATCAAAAATGGAGGAATCTCAGACAGATCACGAAAAAATTGTCAAGAATTTGTCATGACACTGCCACAGCATCCCCTGCCCTTTTTGACCAGGGGATTGGCTCTTGAAACATCCCCCTCTACCCCTCCATATTTTCGTGGTGAAAGGGGAAATTAAGGCAGATGGTAAAGAATTTTTCGGACTTCCTAGCTACCAGAATGTATTTGATAGCACTCAAACAAGGGAAAACAATTACAAGAAACATTACTGGCCCATATTGATGTAAGGTTCTGCAGGGTGTAATACACATTACAGATGTACATCTGTAAGAGATATAATACGTCAGCATCCCGCCTTTCAAATTTCCGTGGCCAGGCAAGTCCCCCCCCCCAGTTCCCGACACATATTTACGTCAGGGATTTTACAGATGGTTACACACCATCTGTAAAATCACTGTCATAAATGAATAACATGGTTGAGGTTTTGTTTTCTCGGTGTTTGTCACTCTCGCGATCTAGGCTTCCATGCCCGTCGTTCTGGTCTCCGAGGGACGTACGGATCCAGTCCAAGGGACTGTCCAAGGACGACGTTGTGGAGAGCTACACGGCAGTTACAGTCGAGTCCGCTCGTGGAGCAGCAGCTGTAAGGCCCGACCCTCACGGGTTTCATCAAAACAACGGGGCCTAGAAAATCACCAGTGCTCCGCGGCAGTGGCTTATTCACGAGGCAGAGGGAAATGCCCTTTGTGGGAACTCTGGCCGCCTTCCCTTCCCCCTCTATAGGTCTCACTTTGGACGCCATCTTTTCAGGAAAATTGCAACTGCGTACAACACCACCTGGTGCGTGTACGTGTACGCGCGGTGTGCAAAATGTTCTAAACTCATGTGCGTGCTAGATTCAAATTTTGTTTGAATACAAGCGCAGCCGATGCGCATCACGAGAGTTGAATTAAAAAATGCCGATGCACGTGGCAATCTGTCGGAAGTGGCGTCATTTGGGGAGAGACTTTACTGAAAATTGGGAATTTGGGGGAGGAAGCTGTCGCCACGTCATCTGTAAAGAGTGTGCTGATATTCATGTAATTGGGGATCCTGAGCAGCTGTTGCAAAGCGCCACCTACAGAGCAGATTGAATCCTGTTTTGTTCCCCGTGAGATTGAGAGAGAAACCTCTCCCGGCCTCGGACACAAATCGCAAAATGGGCCACCTAATGACTCGCAAAGTGCTCTTGCAGATGCGATGAGTGTTATGCCATTTTTGCAGGCAAATCAGTGGACCCAATCTGGTTGCGATGTTATCCAGTGGTACATTAGTCTTCTGCCAGTGTAGATGGTAAATCTGTCCGCCGGTAAAACTGTCTAGGAGACAGAAACACCAAGGGTATCTGCCCCACGTTGAAGTGCATCACCAAGCGGCAAAAGAAAGACAAATGGCAGTAAGTTCTTCAAGTGGGTTCTTGCACACGTTCTGCGTATAAGAAGAGCAGAGAATATTATTCTTGCACGAACCGATCAACTTTCTTGCCGGAGCTATGAAGTCTTGTCTGCTAAGATTTGTCTGCTGCCCTCATCGACCGATTTTGGTATTTTTGGGAAGACCCCATGCGGAGACTGAAAAAAGCACACAGACAACGCCATTTTTTGTATACAAGATGTTTGAAAAACTACTGTTTAAAGTCAATTTAAAACTGCAAGGCTATCCCATTTAAGGAATAAATTCGTAACGCGTACTTGGCGTGCTCCGCTCCAAACCCGCCGTTGAGGCTCCATTATTATAAACGCGCGCCTGTGTGGTGAGTACCCAAAACGAACGCCCTCTTTTGTACCTCAGTGGGTAATTATGTCATATGCCCTCATTTTCGCACGCAGAAGTCTTTATTTTGACTTCGTGCTATTTTGATGAATTCATTCCACATAAAATACATTTTTAGACTTTCATGCCCTTTTTCAAGATACCGAAATGAAGAAGAAATGTAAATGCGTAAAATTAATCGAGCTCTATGTTTTGCAAGAAATTAGTAAAAGCGGCATTGCATATTCTTACAGCTAAATGAAGTGCAGAAAAGTCTCATATGCTTTCCCTGCTGACTCCATTCATCAAAATGTGAACTCCTGCTTGGAAAAGCCGGAGGGACAAAAGTACCTGAAAGAGACAGAATAATCTGGCGGAGACAGGCTTGTGATATCGTGAGGGGACACATTTTCCAAGGGAGACACGTTTTCCTTTGGGCAGGGGGACAGACGGCTGAAGTTAAAAGAGGGCGCTATGCAGTTTTTCCTCGTAGTTTTGAGACTCGGCAGAGGGCGCTCTATAATGCATTTTCTAAACCTGCCTAATCTCGGCCAATAGAGGGCGCTACATACTATATCAACAGAGGGCGCTGTTTATTGTATCAATGGAGGGCGCTATACATATCCATGAGATCAATCGAGGGCGCTGTTTGTATGCGCGACATCATACCGTGAGTCAATAATGGCAGCTGGGACAGCACTTACATGTATGCATTTCAAGTTATAGTTTTGAGAAAAACGAGTATTTATGGAGATTGCTCGAGAATGTAACAGCGATTTTAACCAGTGTGTGGAGAAATTCTGTAGGTAAGAGAAACAGTTTGCGCAGTGGGGAGGGCAAAATCGTGTGACCAGCATCATGAGCGTGACCAGCCGATCAGTGACCGTACCTTGCGTAGTCCGATACTCGTGCATCATTGACTGAGCAACAACGTGGTCAAGGACCATTTCATTATTCAGTCATTTGGCATTTACATTGCCCATCTACAGTATACTATTATACATGTACTTGTTGGACTAGTCTGAGTAACATGGACTGTACAAAATGGATACTGGTCAGCTCACGTGTGCCAACTCGTACCGTCATGGCCGCACACCAACACAACCAATTGACCAACTCAAGATCATTACGATTGTACCATCACATAAGTGTGAAGGTACATGTGAGGATGTGCGCTTTTGCCTTTCCCTCTATAAATGTTGGATTTGGAGTAATTCCAGAATACCCCGCCATGCAAAAATACCCCCTTAAAATCCAATGGCTACATAGTCGAGTAGAGGTTGTTCAACTTTTTCATTATCCTTGCTGCGTCGTGTTGTGTACAGTATTGAAGTCATTTTTGAGAACGAAGCACTCACTTGAATTACATACCACTCACCAGGGGAAGACTGAGAATTTTCTAAATCCAATGTGGGACCCGGGGCGCGGCTACTCGGATACGGAAATACGAAGTGGGCCTCATGGAAGTGTGACTCTGTATCGATGGCTACAAGGTGGTCAAGGTGAGTGGCGGGTTATACCACAATTGTGTTTTGGATTTTTCCCCCAAATTGACACCCACCCAGTCTGGTAGAATGTGTGCTGTTGTGTGTATTGATGCTTTGTAATGGCCAAACTGCAGTGTTCATGTATCAATGACAAGGCACCATGATAAAGTAAGTGGCTCAGTCTTGTATTTGCATTCCTTGATAAAACTGTATTTGTGACTTTTAATTTGAAATCACGAGCAGGATTGTAGCTACGCCAGGCGGCGGGCAGGGCTGTCCAGCTCTACATGTAATCTCCACCAGGCACTTGGAGTAATTTTGAGCCTGACAGCCCAGTACATATATTTCATTCCCTGAGTTGGTAAAATTTCTTAAAAATCTCAAAAATTTCTCATGTATTTTCAATCTTTAGCAATTATAAGATATTGCTGTGTTTAATTCCTTGTTTTAAATTGCAAAAAACATTGAAGTACATGTACACGTAAGTGTAACAGGGAAAAATGGCACACTATGGGGAACTCGCAAAAAAAAAATCCCCTGGCAAGTCCAAATAAACAATCATCTAAGGAAGAGAAGACCGAGAAAGGCATGTTCTGAGGCAAATGAATGGAAATACTTATACATCACTAATATTCTTAGGCTAAAAAGATTAAGAAAGGTAAGAAATATGAGAAAATCAAAGAAGTAGAGATCTAAAAGATGATAGAAGCTCAGAGTATGAGTGTTTTCTGGCATAAAAGCTAGACAAAATTAGGAAAACTTCAGTGATTCAGAAAACTAATACTCAGAAAGAAAATGGACAAACCTTGGCAAAAAGTTTAGAAACTGGATAATATTGAGGGAACTACTTCTATGTAAAAACGTGTATTTACTGACATACTCATTTACTAGACTAAATAAGGCACCAATGCA